TGGGAGAATCCTTTCCCTTCATCTCCTAACTGGCTGTGCAAACACGCCGCATAGCCAGGAGGGATTCTCCCGGTCTTTGAGACTGTACAAGTCTTGAAGACCGGGAGGAATCCCTCCCGGCGCCGAGACTGTGGCCAACCCCCCCTTTTTTGGGCGGGTTGTATGCACACCCCTCTTGTTGCAAATGTCAGCAAACCAAGGGGCATGTAGCAAAACCCGCCCAAAAATAAGGGCGGGTCTTACTTCCCGCCCCTTTTGGAGGGGCGGGGGCGTGGGCGGGCGGGTGTTTATCAAAACAACGTCCTTTGTTTCAGGTGCCCTTTCATCCCGAAATAAAACAGATGGATTTTCCCTTGTCCTCTCATAATAAAAAACCTTTCCCCTGTTTCCACATCAAAAGCTTGTTTCCCTCCTACCAATGCTCCCTGCAATGAACAGAACTATCTTCCATCTTTCTGTCCCATATTGACTGAACTCAGAGTTGACCTCAGGAGGAACGCTTTTGTGACCCCTTTGAATCTTGAGGATATTAAAAACGACACCGTGACTAACAGCTTAGACAGGAATGAGCAGATACTACTTTTTTGGCACAGATTTTTTGGGCATGCAAGTCTCGCCAAAGTCCGCCGAGTCATTCAGGGAAGATTATGTAAGAACCTACCAGCTTCACTTCCAAAAGGGGAGCTAAAGTGTGATGTATGCACAAGAAGTAAGAGCGTGAACCACAACAAGCTCTCCCCCTCAGATTGGCCCATTGGAAAGTTGGAAGTAGTTACAGCTGAAATCGTAGGGCCATTTGAGGCTGAAACCTTTAATAAAGGGAAATATCTTCTAACAATTTGAGATTTGGCAACAGGTTTCAGGGAAGCGAAAGTCATGGCCGAGAAGACTCAAGCATGCGGCCTGCTGATCGAGAAAATCCTACGATGGGAGCGCCAGTTGTCAAAGAAAGTGAAATGTGTGCGGACAGACAACGGTGGGGAATTCTCTAGCGATGTGCTGACACATTTTCTTCTCACACAAGGGATCAAAGCTGAATGCGCCCTGCCATACCACCATTACCAGAATGGTATCATTGAAAGGTTCAAGCGCACGCTAGCTGACATGGGTAGAACAATCCTCATAGACAGCGGGATGGGCAAACCCTTCTGGGGTTTTGCCTTCATCTGGGCGTGTGACATCCTGAATGTGATTCCCAATAAACGCAGTGGCACACTGACACCTTTTGAAGCATTTTACGGATTCAAACCATCCCTGGACAGGTCGAGGATCTTTGGCGAAAAGGCTTTTATTCATGTCCCCGAGGAAAAAAGGAAAAAGCTAGATGACAGGGGGCTCGAGGGACGGGTAGTGGCTCACTGTGACGATAGCAAGGGGTGGATTTTCCTCATCAAGGAGACCAACCAGCTAGTCGCGGCGGCAGTGGTTGACTGGCCAGACAAGCGGCCTGTTTTCCCAAGATCACCCAAGGATGACGTGGCCGCGGTAACTCCTTCAGAAACCCAACATCTTCCCCCGTCGACACCAACCGAGCCAAGTGCAGAATCCCTCCCAAAAACCCAACAGTCTGCCGCGGCGCCGCCCGCTGAAACAAGTGCACCAACAGCGGGCGGCCCATCGAAGCATGACCTCTCTTTTATTGTCAACCAAATGGAGCTGAACAATTTTGCTGATGAGCTGATTTTTGAGCAACAAGATCTGATTGTCGACAGAGTTCTTTTAGACTGTGAGTTCTATGCGGCAACAGTCCCAAGAACATACAAACAGGCGGAAAAGTCGGTTTCTTGGGTGAAGTGGAAGGAGGCCATTGCAGAGGAACTCCGCAACCTGGACGACATGAAAGTTTGGTCAGTCCGTAAGATACCCCCCGGCAGGAGGCCACTGAAAGGCCGGTGGGTATTCGCGGAGAAATCAAATGATCAGGGTGAGGTGATACGTTTCAAGGCTCGCTTCGTTGCAAAAGGGTTCACACAAGTAGTCGGCTTGGACTACGAGGCCACTTTTGCGCCAACGGCCACGTTTGTGTCCATGCGACTCATACTGACACTTGCCGCAAAGTTCAACTGGCCCGTGTATTCTTTTGATTTCGTAGCCGCGTACCTGAACGCGCCAATCAATGAGGAAGTGTAGGTGGAGGCCCCGGAAGGACTACCTGTCCAGAAAGGTGAGGCAATGCTCTTGCACAAAGCCCTGTATGGCACCAAGCAGGCAGCCCGGTGCTGGTGGCTGCACCTAAAGGGGGTACTCAAGCAACTAGGTTTTGAAGCGAGCCAGTATGATAACAGTCTATATACAGTGTGTCAGTGAAACACCAAGAGCACCAGGGAGTGGTTTGGATTCATGTCAATGACGGAATTGTCACAGGATCATCGACCAATCTGTTAAAATCACTAGAATCAGGCCTCAAAGGACTCCTCAAAATCAAGTGGACAGAAGGGCTCGACTCAATCGTTGGTCTTGAGGTCAAACGTTTTTTGCGCGGATTCAGTCTCCAGCAACCGAAGCTGATCAAGCAAATACTCGATTCCCACTGCCAACTGGGAAGGTAGCATTACTCACACTATGCCCCTACCTCCTTCCCTACCCTTGGTAACTGATCCCGCAGGTGACAAATCCACGTCCACGTCTTTTCTTTCTATCGTAGGCTCCCTGAGCTATTTGGCAGTGGGAAGTCAACCCAACATTGCCTTTGCTGTCAACCTCCTCGCCAGATTCTCAGTGCAACCAGGGACAAACCACTGGAAGGGGGTAAGACATCTAATTGGGTACATTGCTAAAACTCAACATCTCTATCTAAATCTTTTCCCAGACAAGTCGCCAAAACCTCTAAAATGCTACTGCGATGCCTCTTGGGGAGGCGAGTTTGCGAAGTCAACCTACGGAATTGTAGTTACATTTTTTGGATGCCCAGTCCTGTGGACTTCAAGGAGGTTCGCAACTGTTGCCTCCTCCACTTGCCAAGCTGAATACATGGCTCTTGGAGTGGGAACTAGGCAAGTACTCTGGGTGCGACACCTTCTAACTGACATACTAAGGAAAAGTTTCACAGGAGTTCTAAATTGTGATAATCAGGCGGCAATTCGGGTTAGTACAGACAACTCAGCAAACAAACGAGTCCGTCATGTCGAAAGAGAGTACTATCTGACCAACCAGGCCCTCCATGAGAAGAAAACAGAATTAGTTTGGCTTCCCACAAGGGAACAACTCGCCGATATCCTCACTAAGGCACTATCCAGAGAGCCCTTCAAATTTTTTCAGGGGAGGATCATGGATGGTGTCTAGGTGAGGGGGGAGTGTTGTAACCCAGGAAGGGGTTACCGGGAGGTCTCACCTAGACCCCTCTCTATAGCATGTATATAAACTCTAGTCGTTCATCTACATGAAAAGCATTCATCTCTTTTGTCTTCTGAGTCTCACTTTCCATCAAGACCATCTCCACCCGGGGGCGGCCTTTCACACGTGAGGTATTGAGGATAGCACCCTGCGGTGGAAAATCTTTTTTCCCTCGGTTGCTATCCGCGCGCCGCAGTTCGCGAGCTGGTAAGTTTACCAACGCGGATGCCACTGCGCGGTGGAGATGGTCTAAGTTCTCAGCAGATTACATGAAGCTAACTTGAATAAGTCCTACTATAAAATGCACGGAGGCAAGTAGGAGCTGGTTGGTACAGTCCCGTCACGATTAGCTTGGTGGCACGTGCAGATCCGGTCTCCAATCTCGGTTGATTACTTGATAAGAGAGAGAGATAACACTAACCTGGTCGGTACAGTCCCGTCACGATTAGCTTGTTGGCACGTGCAGATCCGGTCTCCAATCTCGGTGAGGAAAGAGAGAGGAGGCCGGAACCGGTACCAACCAGGTTATAAACTATGTACAACACATGATCTAGGTTAGGGTTATGGCTATCACTAACTAGGTTAAGGTCTCTGTAAGTACATAGTTTCTGTTCTAACTACATTGTAATCTTGCATCTTCCTTGATCTTCCGGTACTACACTAACACCTACTGACAGTGGCATAAAGCACCTCTGCCAGAGGGACTTATCAACCTGTTGTTAAATTTTGTCTGAGAAGAATGGCAGCTATGTACCATAGGATTTTGTTTCTCCATCTCCTGGCCAAGTTCTCGGCCAAAATCAAATGTGAACCCAGATACAAAGATGTATGTATTTGCGTAGAACAATCTTGCAGAATATTCTTCCCTCCTCGGTGATTTGAGGAGGCTGCTTTGACAGACTGCGATATGTAACGATTGTGAATGTATGAAAGTTGTACCTTTGGATTCCAATGACCCCCCAGGGGAATGTAAGCTGAGTTTTGCCGGAGGCTGCATCCTATTCCTAGCGCCCGGCCACCTTCTGCCGTGGTTACATGTGATGCTGTGCGGTATGCCAGACGAAATCTAAACAGGTATACAGCGCCGCTCTGCCACTGGTGTGCCCATGTTCGTGAGGCACACTGGGCGTTGTGTATGAGCAGCACCCCCCAATCCCAGGCACTTCGAGATGCATATAAGGAGCAGGGTGATTGATAGAGGTGACCCGACTTCGCCCACAACCTCCTTTTGCCAAGTCTAAATTTCTGATCAAAAGCCATATACCGGCATTTTTTTTCCTTGTCAAACTTTCAGACCCGTCCTCGAATTACCGACAATGTTCCAGATGAGAACTGTTTCGCGAGCGAACGTGGCTACCTATGTTGTGATTGCGCTTGCCATGTTATGTGTCCAACTCTTAGCAGCCCACCATAAACACACGTCCAGCGGCGGCGGCTCCGGCGGCCAGAAACAATGCGTCGAATCCGTCATTACAGGACCTCGGGATAATAATCAGATTTGTAAGTTGCGGCTAATACTTGCGCTTTTCGAGAGCAGCTGGTGTCGTTTCTTCCGCGCCCTCTTCATATCCACAAGGACAGCCGATGACTAACTGCCTTTCTGCTGCCCATCCACAGTGTGCGAAGTCTCTAAGGACGTCTACTATGCTTGCGAAAAGAGCAACTGTAACTCGGGAGGGAGTCCTGGGGAGGACCCTTCTGTCCATCCTTGTAAGATAACGTCTATCAATGCGTGTGCACTTCAAACCATTAAAGAAGGCGGATATTGACGACTTTTGTTGTGATGGGCGTCTGGATTTGTGTGGGGGGGGGACTAATCTATGATAGTTTCCAAGATGAGCTGGGAGCAATGCGCCCTAGCTCCTGGGACCACTCGGGACAGAAAAGTGACGGGAACACTAACCTATATGGTCGACCATAAATACGGCATCATGGGTACGTGATGCCTTACTCTGAATCACTCGTCGATAATAAACCTTCGCACAGTCGTTCAACACCTGATATATATGCTATCGGTCCAGGCGTCAGAGGGACCGAAGACGGCGTCGCTGAGGACCACTACTATGAGTGCTCTCAGAGCGCAAACACCCAGAGATCTTGTCAGTCTAATTTTCGATCTATTCATGAGAGTACATACATAATCATCGGAATCCAAATCACTCACCCACACCCACCTTCTCATATATATATCTTCATCAGACTGCACCGGCTGTCAATATGTTAAGCTGGGACCACTATGAATATGATCTTGGTCGAAAAAACAGCTACATACAGACCTTGTTGTGAGTGTTTTTTTTTGCTGACGTGAAAGTGATTCAGAGACTTATGTACGCTCCTTCCTCATAGAGCTGTTTGGACTTCTCGTCGGGTTTCCAAACACTAGGCTTGCTAATTAATCGACGAGACGGCCAAGGGTTGGACATGTTGTTATTATATCTTTCCTTTTATAAATATTTGACTTGTGTGGGATAAATAATAAATTTTTTTGAGAGATGGAGAAAGGTGCAAGCTGGTGTCGCCGAGTACATATATTGTTGAGGGCCAGAAGAATATGGCCGTCTTGCTTGATGGCTCATTGTTGTTCTCGTTGGAAGGGAGATTAAAGACGCCAGAAAAAGTAGCACATATCGATGACTAGAGTTGATTATAGTATACAATACTTGTTTATGGATGAAGCAGTCGATCTGGCGGCTGGCCCGCCCCCGCCAGTCGTTGCTCCAGTGATGGACAGCTTTCTTATGATGTTCCCTGGTAAAACTGTTGATGAGAATATCCATATTCCCTAAATGTTAAATGTTTTTTTTTTTAAAAAAAGGAAGCATTTCTTTTTGTTTTTTGGAATATTTGACTTGAAATGCAGAGTTGAAGAAGAAGAAGAGTTTTTCCCACGGTGAGGATTGAGATTGGAATATACAAGTGTGCATAAATAGCTGGGTTATTGGAAGCCTTCGCGTTGGAACTTGGTTCTGCAGCCCCTACAAGACCAGATTTGTAGGCCCTTGAGTCAGAATTCCCTGCAAGATCTGACATCAGCGGGTTCAAATCTGATTCTGTAGGGTCTACAGATAATGACGGCAAGTCCTCGATTGCCAACTTGATTAATATGTAGTTCCTGGCGAGCCGGGTTGGACCAACCAATCACACCCAGAACCACACGCAAAACAACCACCCAACAGACACACAAAAACAAACAGACACCTAGGCCAGGAGACCAGACGAAAGCAAGCGAGGATGGCAGCGAACGAGAGAAGCTCGCCGAGGAGGGTGGCACGAGTGCACTGTCTTATGGGGCTGGCCCGCACAACCGCGGACCAGGAGGACTTGTTACCGGCGCGATTCAAGACGGAGGTGGCGGGAGAGATGAGCGGGCTGAGCGGGCGGGACAAGCTCGAGGTGGTCTTATCACTGGGGTCGTCGTCGTCGAGTCAGCCTGCGGACACAAGACGACGACTGGAGACGAAGCGATTGGAGCGGATTCTGTGTCTGATCTATGTGGAGATCGAGCGCCAGAAGGCGCTCCTCGACCAGTTGTTGATCGATGCCGAGGTGCTCATCGATGGCTTCAGTCAACGAGACCGGGCCGATTCGGCCTTCTTCACTCCCTCCTCCTCCACCCTTGAGACAGAGGATGGTCTCTTTAACACTCTCGCTCTCGGCGGCACCTTCGATCATTTGCATTCCGGACACAAGATCTTGCTCACCATGGCGGCTTGGTTGACGACTCATAGATTGATCGTTGGGATCACAGGCCAGTCGCTCGTATCCTCCATCCTCCCCTTTCTTCCTAACATATATAACAAAGAAAGAGCCCCCCTCTTCCCGCTAAGACTAACACGTCAATGCTTCCGAAATTGGATGGAAACCACAGATGATGAGCTGCTCAAGAACAAGAAACATGCGAGCCAACTAGAGCCGATCGAAGTGCGCCAAGAAGCTGTGCGAGGGTTTGTGGAAAGGGTGGGCCCGAGCGACCTTCGGACGGAGACCCCGCGGCTGCAGGACGTGTATGGCCCCACGGCGACCGACCCGACGATCGATGGGCTCCTGGTCTCCCAAGAAACACTGCCCGGCGCCAAGGCGATCGACGCTATTCGCTCCCAGAACGGCCTCAAGTCCCTCAGGACTTACGTCATCGACCTCATCAGTAATCAGCTTACCCTCGTCCCCCTCGATCAGCAGAACCTCAAGATCAGTAGCACTCAGATTCGCGCTTGGCTCGATTCTCATTAACTCCATTCCTTTCTCTCTACATAGCTCGGTTTCTCATCCTTGTTTGTATCTCTACATATTCCTCCTCTGTATCCTCAAGATGACTCTTTTCTTTTCTGGGAAGTTCAGATCTGTTTTTTTTTTTCTTGTGTATTCATCATACCAATGATCTTTGGAGGAAAAAAATAATCTCTTTCAAGTTGTGTGCATGTGTTTTGAACCAAGATGACCCACAAATCCGAATTTTGCTTGTCATTTGTGTTTAGTTTTGTGTCTATGTAAGCTATACACAACATAAAAGAAGAGGAAAGTATGATATATAAGCAAAGCACAACAAAAAAGAGAGGGGGAGAGAGAGAGAGAGAGAAGAAGAAGCGATTAAATCTCGTCGATGAGCCAAAGATCGTCGCCAAGCCAATGGACGTTATCGACCCCGACGCCCTTATTTTGGGAGCGCATATCCGCGGCGGATTTCTGGGTGAAGCCGACGGCACAGGGGAGCGATTTATCCTGGGCAAGCACGGCGACGGGGGTATGGAGCGGCAGCTCGGCCGGTAAGCGGGCGCCCGCTGAGGTCAATCCCGGACACATTATGTTCGCCCCCGAAAGCACAAACTTGATCGCCCCTCGATCTACTTGCACTGTCGGTAATAACATCGGATCTGTTTTTTTTTTTTTTTTTGAAACAACACACACAAAAAAAATGAACGGGGGGTTTTGGACTGCCTCTTTCTTCTTGGAGGGGACCGGTTGGAGACGTACATTGGTGTAATAGCTTTAATGTCGGGAAATATGGGCCGTCGAAATGTTGGAAGAAGAGCGGGGTTTTTTTACAGACCAAGATGGAGACATGTTCTCTACTACGAGCCGAAAAAGCACCGACCAAAGAACGAAGGGATCAGTTATTGAAGACAAGTCAAGAAAGACGCCTGACTGGATGAGGAATAGACATACCATTTGAGTAGATTGAGCGATTCTTTTTTGGGCCACAGGAATTCGAGGAGCGTCAATTCGGGAGTCTCGGGTGAGACGGTAGGAGCAGAGGATTGGGAATCGTTTTGTTGTTCGTTCTGAGGATGGTCGAGCAGGAGGATGGGATGGTTGAGGGCAGGAAATTGTTGGCTCAGTTTGGCCCGGATGGCTCGTTGGGTGGATGACTTGATGATCGTGTTCGAGGCCACATCTTCCTTGACTGTGAACCTGTTGATTGTATCATTCAGTTTTTCTTAGCTTAGAGCTTGGTTGTTTTGTCGGGATACAGATGCTATGTAGTCAGTCACTCACTTTTTGAACATCTCCTTCTGTTTTTATTTTTATTTTTGGATTTGGTTCTTGGCTGACTAAGAAAGACATGCTCCTTCAAGTTGGAGAGGACACTGATTGGGGCTTCCCGGCTGCGGCAAAGCGGGAGGGGGGTTTCACAGATATGAACGGGATTGGTGACATCTGTCGATCGACTTTGGCCAGCCCGATCTGCCTGTTGACCATCAAAGCTTAAAAAGCGGAGCCACTTGGAAAGAGAAAGAGAGGACGATGAGCTTACCTTCGTCAGTATCTCTGGCCGTTTCCCGAGTGGAGAGATTGGACTGAATTGAAACTGACATCAACTGACAGTAGCCTCTTTCGACAAGCGAATCGGATCCTGACCATCGCATCCAGCAACATCACGCTAAGACCATCATCAACGAGACAATACTCATCATCCTCGAGTCGAACGCCCTTAACGTTGGACGATGTATTACCAGCGACGCCAACCAGCAGCTCACCATCGATCAGAGAGGGAGGCGGGGACTTCTCAGCAGTCACAGAGGATTATCAGCAGAGCTTACCACCAGGACGGCCTCAGGAGCGATTTGGGAACTCGAGGCGGGTTGCCACACGGGATCAATCGACGGACGGCGATCGAGCTAGGAGCGGACCCTTTACGACGCCGGTCGGCGAGAAGAGCCACTACAGCTTACTAGTTCATTCGACGCCGGACCACACCCGTCTGACGTTGACGCACACCCCAGTGGCCTATCTCCCGGGCAGTTCGCCGGGCCATGCGGGGTTCAAGAGCGCCTATCCGCTCGCCGGGGCCGTGGTGGCCCGAGTGACCGCCGGATCGGTCGGCTTCAAGCGCGGCCGAAGACAGGAATACGAGGCGGCGACCCAGGCCTGTCTGGCCATGTTCGCCAAAATCAGAGAGCTCATCAAGCTCCCCACAGTCGCTAGAGTCAACGCTAATCCCGCAGTCAGGGAGGGCGTCCCCAGAGAACTCGAGGTCGTCTTCAACGGCTTCGGAATCGGAAGAGACGCCTTCCTCGCCTCCCTCCTTAACTCCCAGGCTACCGATCTTAGGGAACTCGTGCGCTCGCTAAGAGATTCTACTGTCGTTAAAATCGGCGGGCCTAGACCTAAGAAACGCAGGAGAGTTTGAGATGTTTTGTTTCCCAATCTCTTCGTTTAAATTCCTGTCTAATTCTTCTCTACTGGTACATCTTAACCCCCGAAAAAACGAATCCCAGCCCATTTGCCTGTTTTTTTTTATTATCTAAAAATCACATCCACCTCGCTTTTTTTTTTCTCTCCGCTGTCCATTTACAATATCATTCCAATTATGGTCCAAAAAATATTCAAGTTTTCTTTGTGAGAGAGAGGAGGGAGAGAAAGGCATGAGATGTAATATCGAGGACAGCTGTAAGTAAAGAGGCGAAACGAGAGTCAGCGATAAGTTGCGAGCTCAAGCTCAGGCTTCAGTCTGAAGTCGTCGTTGACGGTTCTACCAGGAGTAAAATCTCATGTTCAACCAGGAGACATGTCTGATGTGGCAAGAGAGCAGTGCATAACCTACCAATTCACATGAAAATCGTCGATCTAGTTGGAATCCCGCTATCATGCTGATCGGAGACGTTCATATTGCAGGACTCTGCTCAGATGGTTTGTCTGTTAAAATAAAGAAGGAATCTGGCTTGTCGAGACTCTAAAAGGATAGGTATTACATAGAGGAAAAACAAGTCATTTGAGGAGGAGCAAAACTACATTTAAAATTACCCAATCATGAAAAAGAAAAGGAAAAAAACATAGAGGTGTGAAAAGAGATTGGAGAAGGTGGAGAAAACAATCAAAAGGTCAAAATGGGATCTTTGGTTATCTTCCAGAGGCGATTTTAGCGAGACTACCTTCCTCGGAGGCTTCGGCTTCCTCGATCGAGTCCGACTGGCCGATGGCCCTGAGGATGGATTTTTTGGACGACTCTTGCAGCTCGCCGGCGATGATCAACTCGTCTAGGATCGCATAGGCTCGTTGGAAGTTGAAGATCAGATCTAACTCGCATACCTGATCACATCGCAAGTCGTGTATCCGACCAAATTGCAAATATGAAAGTGAGGGGAGGTGAGGGTCATCAGTATTCCATCTCATCATCGTCAATCGTCTGCTCTCCTCTCATCAAGCTCCTTCTCGTCCTCACGTTTCCGAAATACCGGTCCAGCACTTCAACGTATCGGTGGATGATCTCTAGCGTCACTAGTTCGTTGTCGTGAGGCCCGATCCCAGTCACGAAAAATAGCGACGCATATCGTCGATAAACCACTTTGGAATCTATCAAAACCCCCCCCCCCCCATTCACCCAATTTTCAGCAACAAAAGACGCAAGACAGGTTTGTTTGATGTATGGATGAGAAGCGGAAAAAAAGAAGGACCTTTGTATTCGAGGACATTGCACATCCTCGTCCGTCGGGCCAGGACTAATTGGGTCACGTCTTTCACGATCTTCGCTTTCGTCTTCGGCGACATCGTCGTGAACCATTTGGCCAGTCTCACTTTGCCCTGTCTGGACACTAACAGCACATAACTCAACTATCACATCAGAAGAGAGCCAGAACATATCAGTTTGGGTGCACAAGAAGGTCGACACCAAGGGAATGGTGATGTGAGGAAGAGAGAGAGAGAGAACTCAACTGCCATTTCGAGTCAATCGATGAGGGTCTTCCCGGACCGGCTTGTGGAACACTCCGTGTGTCGTTTGGAGTGGTTATCCAGTGCTTGGTCTTATCCGGTTGGAGATGGGTCCGACAGTATGAAGTTGGTTTCTTAGGCGAAAGCAAAGAGATGTTGGCTTGGATGGTGTCGATGACTGCATGCTCCTCATGTTCACCACTGGCCACATGTCACAGCAGGTTCACTGGCTTTCCTCCGGCCTCGATTCCCCGCAGCAAGTTAACACAACTGATCGTTCAAATGGATTTCATTCAAGCAACAAACTCGGAAACAGGGCTTCTATTAAAGGCCATCAATCTAGACGGTTGGAAAGATTCTTTTACATCAAAATGTGTTTAAAAAAATATAATTGAAGGCGGGAAGGGGGGGGGGGGGAGGGGTCACAGTCAAAATCCTCATGAGTTTCCATCAGGCAATCAACCATTGATGGCCAAACAAAGAAACTCCAACCGGGATCCTAAAAATCCTCATCTTTTATCTCAATTGCACGAGGTGAGAAACATGTTTGTCAATATTCTGCTTGGCCCTCCTTCGGGGCGGCGTCCCCCCTCTCATAGAGGGACTTATATAGTTGAAGTTTGCATCCTATGTAAATAGATATGTACCTTCAGCGACGACAGTTAAACTCCATACAACTATTATTATTTTTTCGGTAGGCTTAAAACCGCCATGTCTGAATGCGTCGCAGGGACATCAACTTGTGCCAGCAACTGGCGACAAGTAGTTGGACTCCGTTGGGACATGGAGGACCCCGCGTGGTCCTCAGACGGGAGGCCCAAAGGGCTTCGTTGTCCTCAGACAGCTGCTCGACGATGATGGCTGTTTTTGGGAGCGTCGTCTGAAGCCCTCTGAGTCGTTCTAACCCATCTCGCGGCGACATCAATGTACTCGGACAAATATCATTTGCTGACAATTGGTTGTACTTGATATTTTACCCTGGATCGGCTTACTCGACTCTCGCAAAAGGCACTATAGTATGATGCTCAGGTAGAGCTGGCCTGCAGGAAGACTTCATACTGTGATGACTATATTGAGTGTTTTCTGAGAGCTTGATCAAAGTGGTGTATTGGCATTGACCGCGACGCGTTCTGGCAAAGACCTTCTTTGGACTTTGTAAGCTGGATTACCCTGCATACCTCAGCTCAAGCTTCAGGGAAAGCGGAATTATAATCCTCAGACAGTTGCCCCCCAAGTAAGCACTTGTACGAACACCTGCTGACTCGTAATACTAATAGTATGTCAAAGACTCAGTATAACCGGCCTGGATAACGGCAATACTTACACGTCATGGGCACCTGTGATGCCCATAAAAGCCCACCACTAGCCTTATCCATCCAAAAAAATTACCTGTTGTGTCTTTCTTACCAACTAGTATTCTTGCTCAATACAGCCAGTAACACAAGGTAATTTAATTTCACTTTACTGCTGCTTTCCCATATGGTTCCCTCATTCCAGTTCTCAGTGATCAGGTTTATCCGATGAGGTTTGATGCATATAAAACCAATACCATTGCTGATGACTGTTTTATTCTCTTAACTCTACTCAGTTAAAACTTACAAGTAAAAAAAAAATTGACTTTCATCCAACTGACTCTACTCAGTTGAACCTTACAAGTCAATAAATAAATAAAATAAATTGCCTTACATCCAAGCCAGCTCCACCGACTTATTTATCTCCAAATTTCACGATGTTAACACTTCGATCTATATTGGTCCTAACCACCCTGATTGCCAAAGTGTGGGCAGGGACGTTTTTGAGTGATACCAATCATCCTTTATTTCTGAACTACATGATCCTTGATAGTCAAGCTCCCCAAGGGGTTGGTACAGTTATATTAACAAAATCAGACAAAGACGGTGGTCAAATCATCTCGGACAGACAACAAGGCATTGAGTACAAGAATGAATTGAACCAGAGGCTCTGGGTTCACAATGGCAACGAAAAAGGAGTATTTGTGGAATTCCCACCAAACGGAGTTGCTCAACTACAATCGATTGAGGGAAAACGCCTGTGGCTTGGCGCTCTGGAAAGGCCCTGCATGATGAGTATCTCAAGGTGTGAAGAAATTACAAAACCTGTACTCAAAGCAATCAATGAAGATAGGTTTATTCTTCAGGAACCCAAAGATACAAGACATCAAGAAGCAATGGCTCACCTCATTCAAAAGGGGCTCACTAATGCACAGCCCAAGATGGAACGGTTTTGGGAGTATCCTCCCCAAAAGAATCCCTCAGATTTTCGGCCAATTACTCTATTCAAAGATTGGGACAAGAAGCTGCTTAAAGAGGTTCAATACAGTGGGAAATTGTGGTGGATCGTCCATCCTGATTTCATTTCAACTTCAGAAAATAGTGCTGAACTTCCCTTTCGCATAACTCGTGCTGTCATGCCACGGAGAGGTGCTTATCGAGTAATCAAAAACGTCGAAGCAAAGCTATCACAGAAATCCATCTCGGTTCACGTGGGGGATTTTTCAAGGATCCTACCACCTATAGCCGCTGGCAACAAGAAGGGCATAACCTTCACTAAACCCGGCAACTGGGCTGTGATTACTTGGTTTGATCGGGAAGCACCACTGGAGCATGACGTGTACAAGCTCCTTACAAGCTGGAAAAACGATCATATGAAAAATCTCAAGCTTGGGGAAGGTGAGGTAGAGCAGGGAATTCAGCTTGGTTTATGGGATAGGTTTACACATTCTTGTGCCAAAGCATTGAAACAAGAAGGATCAGATTATGAATTCCTTGGAAAAGTTAAAGCTGATTGAAGTTTGATGCATCAGATTCTATTCTTAATCCATAAAAAGGAAAAATCAACAGGCAACTTGGATTTGACTAACAAAGAAATAGTATCAGAGGTGATTAGTAGGAGATAATTGACCTTCCTTGCTTGGGGAAAGCTTACATCTTCCAAAAATTAGTCCTCTTCTCTAGTTCAGTTAATTCATTCATCAAAATCCATATAAGCAATTGAAATTCCCATCATTGTTCACCATTTTTCATTGCATGATTCCATTCATTCATTTTTTCTTAAATTCTGTTGACAAAGGGATTTACAAGGTTTATACCAAGTCATCATATGTCCAAAACTTATCTTATTGATCATTTGCACAATCCTTTCAGAATTGATTCTTGTTACAGAACCACAGGAAAGCTTATTGGTTTTATTTTCCTTTCTAGTTAATGCGTGTAGATCTGTAGACTTGGGAAGGATTTCCTCTGACATTCATTTCTGACATGTCAAGGTCATTTTTAAATTCTCAATCACAATCAACATTGTACACTCCTTTTATTTTTATCTTCACCATGGAATGCTATCTATTGATTACAGAACATCAATTTGGACCCATGGCTGGGTACCCGGCACTGCCTGTCGGGTACCGCTGGGTGTGATCCCAAATGTCTGTTCTTGGCTGGAAGAAGAGGCAGTAACCGGTTATCTCTGGGGGTACCTGCCCCAAAACACCCTATTTGGTGACCTGGTGGAGACAAAAGGAGTCAACCAGGCAGGGTCTGGATGTCTCTGCCAGATAGATGGTGGAAGGATGGTTAAATTGCATAAACAAATAAAAATACAAACACCAGAAAAAAATAAAGAGAAACAGAGAAGAGAAAAAATGGAGACATACCTGGGACAGAGTGTGAGGAAAGGAATCCTTCCACATTGGCATACTTTGGCCCAGGTACACCCCAGGGGAAGTTTGTACCAAGTGGGATTGTGGAACCAATGAAACTCGGCCAATCCGTGGAACCAACGAGATCAGCTCTGTAAGTCTTTTCTAAGGACTGAGTTTGTCATTGGTTCCACAAACCAAGCTTTTTCTTTGTTGTTGATTCTACAAAGCCAAGTCCAAGCCAATGTGGAGCGGGTGGGCTCATTGCTCACGCCAATTCCACGCCGGTGGACATTTGCTTCAGCTCTATTCGGGACTCCCTGATGTGGGTCCTGATGTTCTGAAACTCGAGAAAAGTTGTGAAAAAAAACTTACAATTTTTTTTGTCATGGTTTAAAAAACAGGTCAGGGTGAGTGGGTGTGGTGCTGAAAAGGGGAGGTCATTCAAATTGTCCTTGTCCGAGTGGTGGAGCACTGGTGCCTGGCTCCAGTTTCCGGTTGGGTCTTTGATCTGAGCTCGGGCTGTACTTTGCCAGGCCGGCCGGCGGCACCCCAACTTTACAGATCGGTGACTGCAGGCTCCACAGGGACCCCAAATTGTGTCCATTGGGTGCCCACATGGATGCAGGGGTGGGGTCCACAGAAACCTCTGGACCGTCAGGTCCTGGTCCGACCCCCTGCAGTGGTCACTCGTGGGATCCACATGCAAAAGTGGTGTCGGACCACGTCAAACTGCACCCCAGGTGTATACTCTATATCTTGTGACATATGAGTGACATGGCTGATGAAAGGTGAGAAGCACAAAGATGAAAAGAAAACACTAGTCCAACACATTCCTCTTTGGTGATCTGGTAGAAACAAACCAGGTTGCTGGGAAGCATACATTGGCAGCCGTACAGAGACAAACCAGGTTGTATTTTCTACCTTCTTCCAGGGAGGAATGCCTCTTGGAAGCCTGGTAGAGACTTTCAACAACCTGCTTGTCTCTACCAGGTTGCTAAAGAGGACTCTCAGCAATCTGGCAGAGACCAATCATCAGGTTGCTGGTGGAGAGCATGCTTGGCAACCCAATGAGTAGAGGAAATCCTCCAGGGCAGAAATTACCACTGGTAGCTGCCTCAAGTACCAGTGGTGCCCGGTGTGGTACTTAGTACCTTCTTTTGGAAAAAAAAACCAGTACACAAGTCCAAATTGATGTTGTCAGGCCCGGTGATTCCAAGACTATATATTTTCTAGCTACTCCGGCCGATGGGGTTGCTTTGGTAGAAAGGAGAGATGAAAGAAAACCAAGGGGCCCAAGTTATGGGGGTGTTTACGGTGCCCTCGGAGGATACTAGCCTAGCCTGAGGTAAGACTGTATTTGGCTATGGCGGGGTCTCAACTGAGGTCAAGGGTATTTGGTCCGTGTATCGGAATAGAGGAAGAGGGAGGATTTATAGAGAGATTACTTACTCGATGAATAGCCCTCCAGTTATTTTCGCATCAACGCAAGAGCCTGAATATGGCAATGGATTCCTTAACGAGAATTCTAGGATGAGATGCTTTTGGGTATGGGCTGCTATCTATTTATGGAATAGAGGGAAAAAGTGCAAGGTTAGTTCTTTAAATAATAAGGATGAAAGGATAGTTCTAGTGCAATGGCGGGGATATTCGATACCCTCTTAGTGGTCATCCTCGCGTCTTCTTTTATACTTGTAAGGTTGGTTTATGGTGGCTTATGGAAACCTGTTTGTATTCTTGCTTGTTAAAGGTTGTTTTTTGATCATGAAGTCATGACTGTTGCGGGCAACCTCAGTCTCATATGTTTCTTAGAGTGTGACATCTGGAGAACAGCGCTGAAGATGACACGAGGTTTCTTAGTACTGAGTCACGCTGCGGCGGAGTCTCCAGCGTGCGGTTATTTTCAAACTTCTTATTATAATTTATCATTTTTATTACTTGTTTGAGATGTACAGCTAAACCGAAAAAGCTTGCGGGCTGGGAATTCGGAATTTCCAAAAAAAATAATTTTCATAGTTTCTGGCCAGAACTTTTGGAGAATACAGTCACTGTATTCTTCCAAAAGTTCGACGGCATTCCCTTCCTCCTCCAATGGCTTTCCCCCCTCACCTTCCGCTCGGCCGCTTCGTCCTCCCCCCATCACCAGAGCTTGATTTCCCCCCCCCCGGTCCAGCAATTTTGTCTCAAATTTCTTTGGGACCACTTGCACAGCTCAAGGTAATCAACGACATCTAAAGACGCACTACGTAACGGTCAAGTCACCCAGCGCACAGCGGAACGGTCAACTCGCTCAGTATGTATCAGTCATATCATATGCCTAACTCATCATCCAATTGGAGCTGACGATCGTTCCCGTGGCATTAGGCCTTATTTTTGCATACATAAAATGGTCTTTGTTGCATACGACCGACAGGTGAAGGTTATCGTGGTTAACATGGCCCGCCGTGGGGTGTCCCTGGATCAGATCAACAATACAATCGGTCGCTCAGTGTCAGCTTGCTACTATGGCAGAGACAACCTGTCATAGCAAATAAAAATAATAAATTACATAAAAAATCTAAGTATAAATTAAAAATATTACATAAGTAAAAGAAACAATATTACTTATGTAAATAAGATAAAAAATACATAAAAATAAATAAATAACTTAAAAAGTATAAACAAAACCTTGAATATTATTGCAGATTCTGAATCAGCACACAATTTAACCTAGGGTACCTCAGCCAAAGGTACCCCAAATTCTAACTCCTTCATCCTGTAATACAAGCATGAATAATTAACAGGTACCCCCAGATCACGGGTACTGTGACACTTCTGCATAATGCATAATGCATATACTCCAAATCCAGTCTCAGAATTGGAGTATTGTGCACGGTTTAGAAGATAGAGCAATGTGGAGTCCTGTCTCCAAGCCCATGTGCCACGTAGTCATGCTGCGCACCAGTATCCAAGGATTGGGCCACAAAAGCCCCAGAATACCCATTACACGTGGCAACAAAGCCCCCACACGTGTAATAAGAATGTGAACAAGCTAGAATATCTATGAAAATACTACAGTAACCATATTCCAGTGGGTAACACGTGTAGCAAGCCTCAGAAGACACCTCTGGAATATTCTGTGGCCCATTTCCAAGGAACCTGCTCCACGTAACAGAGTAGCCCCTATCCACAGGTTCCCATGGGACATTCTTGGCTGTAATAATTTCGTGCATGACCCCTTGGAGCTTCTGGAATATTATCCCCAAGGTTCCAGCCCTGGTTACATCACCATGTGGGCCAAAATGGGCCCAAAAGCGCCCCCAAGTCCTACTAAGCTCCCCTGAGCAACCCCTGAGGCCTTCCACAGGTATTTAAAGGGCCTTCTGACCGCCCAAATAATGATCTCCCAGCTTTAGAATACCTTATAGAAATTTACTTACCATTTACAAGTCTCCTACACTTGTAATTAGCCTAGTTACTACTATAATTGCTGTTATTAAGCCTCAAGAACCCTCAAGAAACTCCCCAGTTATCACCCAGCACCCAAAATCAACCTTTCTGAGCGCTCCCAACTGTCCAGTTTCTACTAAGAAAGTCCTCAAGACCCCTTTGGATTATTACTAGTAAGTAATAACCCTTTCTTGAAGATTTTCCCCTAAAAATTATCTCCTGGGATTTAAACCACACCTGCTACAGGCCCCAGTGTATCAGGTACCTAAATCCTCTGCTTTTTGCACGATACCTTAGAGGGATTAAACCACCCCTGATTTATCAGGCCCCTCTGGTTTAATTTATATTAAATTTATTAATATAAATTGGCCACTTTTTGGATTTAATCCATAAATTCCACGTAATTCTTTTGAATTACCTGTACCAGTTCTATCCCAGAGTTTTTGCCATAAAAACTCTTACTTTTTGCACCTTGTGTAGCTGGAGGACACGTGTCTTGGCATCACATAGGCTGACACTCAGTCTCACCCGACTTGCTTACCCGCTGGATGAACATCTATAACACAACTCGGGATGTCTTGCGGGATCCGATGACCTATGAGCAACGAGGACGTCCTTTGGCGATTTCACCTGAAGAAGCTGAATTCGTCATGGCGGCTCTCGACTTGGAGCCAACATTGTTCATCGATGAGATCCAGTCACATCTCCAGGCGATGGCTGGGAACCTGCACCCACTATCAATGATCACTGACGAGTTGCGGGTACGCCTCCAGTTGACCAAGAAGACCGCCCGCACGGTGCACCCGGCCCAATGCCCCTTCCAAAGGGCCGAATTTACCGAGAGAGTGGGGGTGTACCACCCAAGCTACTTCGTCTTCATGGGTAGGTTGTACACTTAATTGAATCAACCTACCAATGATTGATTTGGCTGATGATCGACTGCATCTGGTTTCAGACAAGGCGGCGGTATCCCTAGGAACCCACTCATGAGACCAAGGGTGGGTGTCAGCCTTAGAGCCAACCAAGCTGGCCAAAAGACTGCCAAAACTGCCCATTTCTACTTAAAATATTATCTTATCTTTTTTATCTTAAGACTTTTAACCTTTCTGAGTTCAGAAATGGATTCCTGGTGTAAACTTAACCCTAGTCACCACTGATCACTTATACCCAACTCCATTCCTTCATTGACTTTGTAATAATTCACAGTACTCCAATAATTATTCCGACCTTTAGGTTTCAGCTCCCTCTACCACATGTACAGTGGGTGGACCATTGTTTTTGGCTGCTTGTTTTGGATGCCAGAGCTTCAAAGCACCAGATTAAAGTCATGAGACTTGGTCAAGTGGTGCAGAATAGGTCACAAAAAACAAATATGAAAAAATAAAAACAAAAAACAAAGTTTCAAATTTTGTGAAAAATAAAAAATAAAATTGATTTTTTTCAAAAGGTTTGATATTCATTTTGGGGAAGTGTGAGTGCAGAGAGAAAGAAAGAATGTAAAATGGGAAGAATGATTATAAATGAAAATTTTGGAAAAAGTGGTTACCAGATAGTTTTAACCAGTTGTTGAGTGGGGTATTCACCAGCTCACATTGCAGTAAAGCACTTGAATTTACTGTTTTGACTCCAATCTGGACAACCAACCTGGCTCAACCTTTTTTGGTTCCAATTTTTTTCATTTATAATCATTCTTGCCATGTTCCACTCTTTGTTTCTCTCAGCACTCCCACTCCCCCAAAATGAATAACAAAGCTTTTGGAAAAAAACATTTTTATTTTTTATTTTTCACAAAATTTAAAACTTTGTTTTTTGTTTTTATTTTTTCATCTTCATTTTCTGGGACCTATTATGCACCACTTCACCAAGTCTTGTGACTCAAAGTTTGTTCTTTGAAGCTGTAGAATCCAAAACAGGAAGCCAAAAATAACGGTCCACCCACTGTACATGCCAGATTACATAATCCAACTTTGAAAATCCTCTCTGAGCTTGTTGATTCCGCTTCCAGAGGATTTTCAGACTCCAGACCAACTCAGAACACCAACAACCAGACCCAGATCAAGCAAACACTTATCAACCAGAAGGACCTCACTTTTCCTACCTTTCCCACTAATCAGTGTCATTGGTATCATTAGTAAGTCACTTCTCATAAGTTAAGCTAGCATCTTTCTGCTTGTTTCTTTTCTCTGTTTCTCTCAGTTTCCCTTCACTCCTCCTCAAACCAAAGCCCTGATCAAAGAAAGCAAGCGACAGCTTCCATTATCTCTTCTCCTCCTGTTTGGTAGTACAACTGAAAACTACATAGGTTTCCCTTTAAAGAGCCTTGATCTTTGATCTAAAAAATTGTGGTTGACCTGATTCATCAGTGTCAATACCCATTTCAGTTTCTGTTGATTTGGAGTAGGGGTGAGGATGGGTCGGGTCGGGGCAAAAAAATGCTGACCCGACCTGCCCCAAAAATAAATGGGTCAGGTCAGGTCGGGTCACTTTTTCAAAAACCTCTGCCCCGCCCCGACCCAAGACCCACAACTTGGGTCATGGGTCGATGTGGGTCGACCCATGGGTTGACCCATGGGGCTCCCGTTTTTTTTTTTTGGAGGCAGAGGTTTTTTTTTAGGTGGAGGGGGGTTTTTTTTTGGGGGAGGGGAATGATGCCTTCTTCTTTGCATCATTTAATGAGAAAGAGTAAGAAAAAAAGAAAGGTGAATGGAGAATAGAGAAAAAATAAAAAAAGAAAGACAAATAGATCCATCATCCAGCTACTCTGGTTGATCGTAGATTTCGTCACCCTCTTTCAGCCAATCTTGTGTACAAACAAGAGCCTCGAGGGTGTCTGCATTTAGACTTGCTCGGAAGTCGTCCAGGACCCTTCCAGAAGCTGAGAAGGCAGATTCCGAAGCTACAGAGGTAGCTGGGATCATCAAGACCGTTCGGGCAAGCTGACTCAGGGTGGGAAACTGCCTTGAATTGAACTTCCACCACTCGAGTATGTCGAAGTGAACTCCTGGTTCAACTTTGACATTGAGTTCTTTGAGGTATAGTTCAAGCTCGCCAGTTGGTGTACCTGTTGAGCCAATCCCCTTGGTTTTGGCAAGGTGTCTCTCGAAATCAATAGTGTCCTGGTCTTGGATACAGAGAATTTCATCATCTGTGGCTTTCGTGCTTGCAGGTGTTGCTGGCCTTTCTTTCTCGTAAGCAGTGACATACTCCTTGTACCATTCGAACAAAGCAAAACGGATGTTCTCGATCTCGCCAGGGTTTTCTTCTAAATTGAATTCAACATAAGACATCTTTGAGCGAGGGTCAAAGACCAGTGCGATGGCGGCAAAGACCTTCATTTCTACCCGGTACTTGTAGAATTTGGTGAGCATGGGGTCGACAATTTTTTGAATGTGACTACTAGTAGATGTGTGTCCGTTCAATAAGTGGCGCTCAATATTCTTCATCGATTTAAATATCAAATGAGAGGTGGGATACCTCGAAGCTGATAAATCAACAGTAGCTACATATTGAAATGTTTTGAGGAGAGTAACATCAGTAAGAATAATAACCAAGAGACGTACTGACTGGAGGTCTTCCCGTCGGATCTGCGGGGCTCGCAGATTTCATTTTAGACCCAAAAAGTCTAAATTTTCCCGTTCTTAATTTACACGAGGGGTTCCATCAATTTTGTAAATCTCCTCACCTCTCCTCATCTGATCGGAGATCGGGCAGGATCAGCAACAACACAAACCGATCATCAGACCAGCAATCATCTATCGATTACGGCTCAATCACCCAAGACCAGCAAAATGATACCACTTCTCTCCCTGCTTGTCTTATATAACCATCTCCCTCCTCTGGAATCAAATCTACAGCTTGCCCATACTCAGACGACATCGCGATATCTCCACAATTTCCTATCAACAATCTTTTATCTTGCGGCCATGTCCCATCTTCCTCCTACTCAGTCAGGTACTCAGCCAGCAACCCAGCCATCCGGAGTAGCCACCCAAATGGATCCCACCCTTGTGTCCGCCCTCCAGACCCAAACGACCGGCTCCGCCCTCCAAACCCAAACGACCGTCTCCGCCCTCCAGACCCAAACGACCTCCCGCTGTACCGGACGTCAAAAGGGCTCGCAAGGGTATAACGGGGACGATTTCTTGGCACTTGTAACTTGTGTCAAGCATGTCCTCCCTTTGGGTAGCAATGACTGGAACCGAGTCCACGAGTTGTACGAGCAATACGCGGCGGCAAATGGTCGGACTCCTCGGGACCCTGATCCTCTCAAGACGAAGTTCAAGGCTTTGGTGGCTTCAAAAAAGCCAACGGGCAATCCGGACTGCCCAGTATGGATTCGCGAGGCAAAACGAGCGAACATGATGATCAAGGATCGGGCCAAGAGTTTGGCATTTGTAGATGATGATGATGAAGAAGATATTGACAGCGACGATGAAAGGTGATATGAGTTCTTTGATTTCCTTTCTTTGCCTCTCTGTGCCCTTCACCCTGGCTGATTTTTTGTTCCAGAAATGGTGTAGGGAACCCGGTTCCCCTCTCTCCGGCCGACTTTGGTTCGCTGTCCCAGGGGACACTCATCTCGGGATGGAGCGCAACCCAATCGCAACTCCCCAACAATCCACTTGACTTGGATGTTGACCCCAATGACGAATCCCTCCACGACTCCGCTGACATCTCCCAATCGTCGAGTAATCCGTCTTTGGCTGCGGTTCAAGGCCAGAACTCTTCGGTTGTGAATCGAGCCCTTGCGTCCTCTGTTGCTGGGGCGGGGGATAGAGGAATCAACTCCACTCAGCCACAGAACACTCGCCAGGCACCGACTTTTATCCAGCGCAATCAGTCACAAACCGCCAACTCTGCCTCCCGATCGACAGCCACTGGGCCTTCGCCTTTGTTGGGTCAGAGCACCGCGGGTCGTCGAGCGAAGGCATCTCAGCCGGCCGGTCTACATACTACTCTGGCGACGTTCTTTGACCCGGATGCACGTGCCGCTCGGGATCAGGAGACTAGTATGTCTCAATTCTATGCGAGCCGTCTTCAAGAGGCGAATTCAACGATTGCGCGACTGCAAGACGAGATCAACCGCCTCCGCGAGGGGGTTAACGCTAATATCCTCCGTCTGCAGGACGAGCTCCGACAAGCGCAAACCAATCTAGCGCAGAAGACCTCTGACAACCAGGACTTACGGCATCGCCTGGAGATGATGCAACTCCGCCTAGAGTTGAACCCACCTGGTGGGTTCATGCAACATGGAGGTGTGGGTGTGCATGGGATGCGCGCGGGCTTGTTTGCTCAGTCCCATACCCATGTTGGCACATCACCATGGGAGGTCAATTTAATCAGACTGGCCCATCGGCCCATACTCAGTGATCATTTTTATTTATTTCTTTTATTTTTTTCATATTGAATCTTTTGCTGGTTTTATATGGATTATAGGCAATTCTTCAAGATCATGTGAAGGTTTTTTTGTGTGCTCTCTGGGTTATCTTAGAAGTTCCAATTTTTTTTTATTCACATGAGCTCTGGAATGAATATCTCTTATAAGTCCATATATACAAGATCAAATGATTGATCCATGAGATCGATCTTATCTCTGCGAGGCATTTGAGTCAAAACAAGTTAGGTAAGTGATGTAAGATAAGTGGATCGATGAATCTCGCACTTTCATTCACAATTGGACCGATCAATCTTGGTTGACTGGTCAGATAAGTGGATCAATGAAGATTGATCGGTCTGATTCATAATTGGACTGATCAATCTCTCGAATTTACTCTATGTTAATCTCAACGATCTGAAAGAAAACAAAGTAAGAATGGATGATACTACATGATACTCGCTTCTAATCAGATCGGATTAGGTGAAGATAACAGCGACACATATAACAATGGGCAGATGTGACATGATCATGAGCGATAGGAAGGAAACCATAACAAAAGAAAAGAAACAAATGATAAGTAAGGAAATTTAGAGCCATCCGTTGTAGTATCGAG